CATTTCCATACAATGGCGCGCTTTCACATGCAATTTCTGACATGTTTTTTCACACGGATACCAAACATGTATGAAACCTTAGCCCCCATATGCAGCTTCGCTGTAAAAAGAGGTACGACCAACACACTTACACACACAAAGTAGGGGTCAGGAAGTGCCGCAGATAATGTTCGGGAGAGAAGGGAAAAGGTTTATGGTAATGGAGGAGTGGGATATCCCTTCTCCCGAATTTTGACTATAGGGAGTATTCACTGGACGCCATATTTCTTAAATACCAGACTGGAGCAACCGCCTCCGCCTCTCTCTCCCCCCCCCCCCCCCCCCCCGCACCCTTAGCCCTTTATGCCCCTTGCCTCCTCTTACTATTGGCGACGTGAGTGATCGAAAGCGTCGCTGTCATCGGCCCACCACAATTGGGCGAATGCTAGCTATGACGTCAGCAAAGGATATCAAAACCATAACAACTACGAATATCACCCTGGATCGAACTATGTCATAAAATAAAGTTTTCGCAAACAACTTCTCTAACTAAATAATTACGATGTGAGACGCAACTTGAATTATGAAAGGATCCGAAATTGGGACCTATAGACCTTTGCAAAAAGAGCGCTCTGGCCGCCGCCATTTTGCGAATTGAGCGACCCCTATCAGCCAGAACCCGCCTGAGCTGTGGAAGCCCGGTCAGCGTGACTCCCCACCTGCATTTTTGCATTCGGAGTTCGGCGGCTTTTTTTGGAAGTTTTTGCTTTATTCGCCTGTTTAGGATGCTTACCCTTTGTATGTTATCTTCCACTGTGAGAACCAGGGAATACCAGGGCTCGTGACCCGCTCGGCCTTCACAGGAAACGAACCAAGAGAGCGAACGTCAAGCAGCCCGCGACGCAGGCAGGTCGACGTGCTTGGAGGATTATTTCCGTCGAGATAATCTCCAAAAATCCTTCCAGGCTGTGTTCCGGGCCTTCGCAAAAACTAGCTGATAGGGTCGAATCCGGGGTGTGGCGACGGAATAAGCACGTTCGTTCATTTGCTATGAAGCTGTGCAAAAAAAGGGGGCTCCCTTCCACATGTTCCCGAAAACACGCCGGATTCCGTCCGGTCGTCGTGAAGTGACTATCGTCGACACTGTATATTGGATATGCTGTGTTATTTGAGACCTTTCTCAAATCCTGTTCGGATAACGCGGCACCGTGGGGTACGTACAATATATTTTTTGCTCGATTGATGAGACTCATTGAATTTTATGTTGTGGGCCTAGAATATCCATGCAGTACGGATATCCTGTGTGGTCAAATATTTTGACCTTTATAGATTGACACGGCTGAGTGTACGGTGCCGTAAAACAACGAACATAAAATGAAACAAACATTCCAGTTGCATTTGTTCTGTCGCGCACGGACTCACCAAAACAGCTCTCATTTCTTTGTTTTTGTTCCTAAAAATAGAGCACTGCTTTCTTAAAGACCTCTATAAGTTATGTTCGCCACAGAACACAAGATAAAAAAGAAAACGCGGCAATTCAGCCCAATTAGCGTCCGGAATTGCGCCTACGCAGGCTGCCACAGCCCACTGACGAGAAGCTCCGCAGCTCAGCGCAGTCGGGCAACACTGACGTGCACTCTCAAAACCAGGGACACGCGCTGTAAATCGCTTCGTTCGAGACTGCCGCTGGAAAGGTCTATATCGAGAAATTAAATCCAAAATGAAAGTTAGTTTCGGTTTCGCTCCAGAATTAAAACGCGCATCCTTGCGTAAATATTACGCTAAACACCGTTCTTGTTTTCAGGGTAAAGAGGTGACCTGCGCTCATCTCACCCTAGCTTCCTCGTATTACCAGA